GAGAGGGAGAGCCCCGGGATACACGTAAGGCGCCAATAGGTCAGGTATTGTATTGAACCGGACGACGGCAAGGCTGCCTACCACCTCATGGTGGTGAGGTGGAACTTGAAACTCGGACCACAGGGTCCAAAGCACGTCAGTGACAGCGATCAAACCACTGCGCTACCCCCGTTGCAGTAAACAAACATCTCAAAACCGATTTACGCATAGAAATCAACGACTGCACCGAAGATAGCGTGAAGGAGAAATCGGTGTGGAAACTTTGTGAAGCCTAATTTAGAGGGAAGAGGTGAGAATTCACGGGATAAAACAATCCCCTCCCCACCAATAAGATATATAGCGCTTTTCAGAGCAGAAAAAAACGTCAGACTCGGTCATCTGCAACACGCGACTGAAAAGGTTCTCCGACGTACAATTTACTGAATTAATTGCCTGCGACTGCTACAAACCAGATACACACAACCATCAAGTAAACGGGAAATAGAACGCTGTCTATCCTTCTTCAGTAGTAAAGTGTGAGTTGCTCCATTACAAAGTTGTCGAACATTATATATATATATATATGTATATTTATATATATGATGATGATGATCATCATCATCAAATAAATTAAGTGCTACATCCAGTTGCACCGATCGGCATATATTTCTTGAATGATTTTCACTTGAATCATGGACGTCTGATGAGCACAACGGGGTAGTGGTTTGATCTACGGACGGGGAACGACTTTTAAGCACCAATACATTGTAAACCATCTATCTATCCATTGAGATATGCTTGCTATCAATCGGTTGACTTAATCTTGTTGCATCCGGTTTCATTCCTCCTCTCAGATGGTCAGTCATTCTTTACGGTAAACAAAGATTTGTATTCCTGTACCTAATCCACTTTCCTCCCCAGATGGCTGCATTGAGGAAAGGTAATCAAGAGTCATTGTTTACTGCGAGGCGCATCAAACTAGTGTATGACTAGCGAACGTTTCCTTCCGGGAATATCGCTCTAGTGGCTATGTTCAGCCACGGTCTGGGTGTCCGGCGTCCCATGCGAGTTAAACAAATGTCGAGGACGCCTACAATGACCAGTTTGTTCGTATCTTCCCATCAGACGAACCCTCAGCGAAGCTCTAAACCTCCATGTGGGCTGCATTGTTGCTATTATCATCACTTTCGTCAGTTTCATCGATTTGTTTCCAAGCCTGGCGTCAACAATCACGCTTGAATAGCGAAAAAGTCAATTCATCACGCCACATGCTCGGCTTCTATTGTTCGAGTGTCCACNACACACACACACACACACACACACACACACACACACACACACACACACAAATTTCAGCAGTTGGGAACGGAACAGGAATGTCTCAGTTTCATTGAAATTCATGTTTGTTGAACCGAGGAGACATGGCGCGTATAGGCTGGACGGCGTCATTGCTCACTGACCATAGCTGCAGAACCATTCTCTTGGTTTTCAGTCACGTGACTGGAGACTGTGGCCGGCAAAAGTGCAACTCACGTTACGGAGTCAGAGGAACATAATGCATCTGGGGGAGGGGCGACGTTCATCCAGTATGAAGCGACAAGGGCAGGTGACAAGCAGACACACAACAGAGTCCTGATTGCGTTGGTCATACTGGACATGCGTTATGAAAGACCACGATCAAGGTCGCAGGTAGTATAGCATAGACCCAGAGGTTGTGTCTTCATACCTGATTTCGGCCCTATTAACCCCTGAAAGATTTTGATTGAGTCTCGTTCCACTTCGGTAAAGTTGGATTACGAATACAAGGATGGAAATAAAAGATCGTACTAACCTCAATAGCTTTATCCACAGTCTCCTCGGCCATGCTACGATAAGTGGTCCATTTACCACCAGCGATGGTGATTAGCCGATTCGAGGAGACCTCAATCACGTGATTACGCGCGATCGACTGTGTATCCGCGGAGTTCGGATCGCGAACCAACGGTCGAATACCAGCCCACGCGGCCAGGACATCACCTCGTCGAACTGTTCAAACCGGGGGAGAAAATTTCAGAGCAAATCCGTAAAAAGCGGCCAACAAATTGTCAACCTCTGATTATTGTCTTAAGGCCAATTTCTCGAACCCAGAACTTACTAACACAAATATGCATCGTAAAAAATGAAATCAGAAGTTTTCTAAAATACAATAAAAGAACGGAAGTACAACCAATAGTGCTTTATTTCAACAACCTTGAAATGAAGGAAATTGGTTTGACTTAACTGAGTAGGTCTATACACAGCATTGCAATCATTCTAACAATTAGAAAAACACCGATATCAATATGAGCGTGAACAAGCTGACCTTGGATATCCGGGGACAGGTAGTCACGGATCTCGTCCAGAATGAAATTCACTTCTCCTTCCGTTGGTGAGGGACTATCTGACAGTTTGCACGGATTGTCTGTGGTCCCGGCCAGGGCGAAATTCATCCAGGGCAAGAAGAAGATTACACGGCCATCACGGGTGGACGGATCCAACAAACCCATTTGGGACGGACTGAGGAATAATGAGTGTGTGAAGAAAAATTAACGGAAGGCCAAACCCAAATTCCTTCATAACGATAATAATTCAGAAAGACCATAACCTAAGTGTAGGTTGGACCGTCGAGAGCTCACTCCGGATATACGTGCATGGCCGCATCGTATTTGCATATAAACCGAACTATACATGACTCCAAAGCAACAGTGGGCTGTAAAGAACAGAACAGAACAATCAGTAGTGGATTTTTAATGCAGAAGGGAGTAGGAAAACGTGTTTTTGTTCAACTTGCGTTGATTAGCATACAACAGAGCCAACATAAGTGCATTGGGTAATCAACCGAGGCCCAATCACGTCTAATATGGTCAGTGTTTATTATCGTTGAGTGAACGGAATGAAATGAAAGCTGTTTTTCAAACCGATGTGGTTAGTCGATCTGAGAAGAACTTTGGTTTTAGACCTTCTCATGTTGTTGCGAGCGGCGTCCCGGTGGATTGGATGCGCACTTATTGCGATTACTGATGGGACTTCAAAAGAGTTAGACTGACGAGTGCACAGATGGTCCATCTGAGTTGAGTGCAACGTGGTAGCAGCGATTCAGGGCAACTTTTGGTCTCTGTCAAACTACTTGTAGTTTAGCCTTATCGTCATATTGATCATAAAGTTCAAAGTTCGAGTACTAGTAACAGTAACTTCTTCATCATAAATTTGAATTCCCAAAAAATCCATTGGAAGTAGCACCTTTCTCTTTACTGAAAGGTGACTGAAAAGTTAGTTATGTAACCAACAAAGTAGAACATTACAATCACCATTTTAATAATAATTGCAATAAAAGTAACAAAGTCCATTCTATGCAAGATGACCACACCTAACACAGGCGAGGAGACAGAGGGAGAGAGAGACCGCGATAGCATGATGCGATTCAGTTTTTACCCGTGCCTATCACACGTGTTCGGATCGTTTATCCATCCGGACTGAAAATCCATCCGTTCGGTGTAGCTGGACGGAGATCTGGTAAACAAGACCAACAAGACTTGTGTGCCGAATCCCGAACAAAAGTAACATGGCACAAAGTTCAGTTCAGTTTTTACAACCATCAACCAATACGCACTTTCGTGCACCGATTTTGGTCGCTGTCTTTTGGATAAAAAAGTATAATGAAGATTGGAATGTTGAGAGCAAATTCAAACGGACTATGGAGAATTCATAAAGAGTATTGTTAAGAGAATAATGACTGGATGCACGAGCGTTACTGTTTGCGACACCCAGAAATATAACCCGGTGTCGCAGGCCAAGGAGCCTAACGGGGCCTATGTGACCTAGTCTCCTAGTCAGGGTTTTCATACCTTCATGTCAGGTCTTAGTTTGACCACCCTTGACCTTTCCCAATCACTACCTGCCTCGGCAAACATCGCTCGCCGTGGCAACCTATCAGGCGACATGCGTAACACATGTCCCAACTAACGTCATTTATGGGGGGCGATCACTTACTCCAATGAATGACCGCGACTATCTCAGACTCTACGTCTAACCTCAGCATTGATCGTCCGGTTTCCCCACCAGATTCATGAAATGCGACGTAAACAGCGGTAAACAGCGGTCTTCGAACACCGACAACCTATTTTTATCCTGTTCCCGTGGTGGCCAAGTCTCTGCACCGTAGAGCAGTACTGGCTGAACTGCTGCAGCATATACTCGATTCCAAACAGACAGCCGGATGTCGCGACACAAATGCCACAAATGTCTCAAGTTGGCAAATGCCAATCGAACCTTTTGTATACGCGCCGACACTTCGTCTGTGATGTGTCCGCCAGGTGGGATATAGCTGCCTAGATAACAAAATGTGTCTACTTCCTCTACTACGTCCACAGTCAGGGTGAGACTAGGTGCTGGACCAACCCAATATTGTAGTAACATTTTACACTTTGAAGGTGCAAATCGGAAACCAAACATGGCTACACTAGCACTCAAACTATCCAGAAAAACTTGAAACTTACCTGGATCTTCACTTAGCAGCACAAAGTCATCTGCATACTCTAGATCAGACAGTCTGCCACCCGGGAGTAAATGGATACCGCTATCCTCGCACGAGGATAGGGTTGCTTCAATAATTAAATCTATCATGAAGAGAGAGGACAACCTTGTCGAACACCACTTTCGTGGTGAACTCAGATGAAAACATGCCGTACACTCGGACTTGGCTCCGGCTATTAGTATAGAGCGATTATAATATCAAAATAAACTTCTCGGGCACACCTTTCAGAAAAGGGCAGTGCCAGAGTTTAGAGCGGTCGACTGAGTCGAAAGCCGCTTTCAGGTCGAGGAAGATTGAAACGGCGGTTCTACGAAAAGAGTGTCTATATTATAGAATTGGACGATGAGTGGATGTGTGGTCTATACAACCTCGACCAGGTCTAAAAGCGGCCTGATTTTTACGCGTACACCGCTCGCATGCGGCAGACAATCGATGAGAAGTTTAGAGACAATGTTGATTAAACCGAACATGGCACAACAAGAAGGAGCCATTCTGGCTGGGGACTATGGATTGGAAAAAATCACCAAAAATGGAAATTGATGCATCTGTTTTGTCCCCAGTTGATCATCCACCCATTCGTCAACCTGGTTCCGTTCCTCATGGCTTAGACTGGTAAGGGGATGCTAAGGTTTCACTCAATCGAAAATGAGTGGACGAGAGAAACTGAACTGTGTAACGCAACCTTGGACTGTAGTGGAGCACAAAAACTGCTGAGTTTGTCACCGTCGAGTGAACTTCGAAAACAGAGACAAACATTTCCGGGAACTTACGTGTAGTAGCCCGGGAGAATAATGTGCACGCCGGAACTGGGCTGACAGATCGGCGCCTGTTTCTGATCATCCATCTGTCTCACATGGTCCGTATAGGGGCCCGTTGCATTGATCACGCACCGTGCTCGAATCACAAACTCTTTACCGCTCAGTCTATCCCGTACACGTGCACCGGTGACCACAGTTTCCGATTCCGCAGGTGCTTTCACAATCGCTTTGTCGGTTGACGGAGAACCTTTGGTTGGATAGGGTTTGCCCTTGAGAATCTCTAGCGCTTCCACGTAGTTGGAAATGCATGCACCGTAGCGGACTGCAGTCAAGGCCACGCTCAAACACATCCGGGCATCCTCATGTTGTCCTGCACAGGGAAGATTTTGGTGAGTATGATAGGTAGATCTGACTAATATGGATAACCGCTCGCCAAAGAACGATTAGGACATGAATCAAGTCCCGAGCAGATGACTTTATTTCACTGAACTGAATCAAATTACTTTTGTCGCACACACAGCGTCATTGCTAGGAATGGTATCCTAAGCTATGATATTTCAAGAGAACCCTCTATCCATGCACGGATCTAGCTTGGTCACACTCATNAGTTGTCCCCCGAATTGTTGCGAAAAAGTCAGCTATATATTTATCATTATTATTTATTATATTTCGCACTCGTCTTATGCTAGACTGTGCCAAACAAATCGTGGTACGATAATCTTTATATATACCACCGGCTTGTAGATAAGTATGGTGCCAATAATAACAATAACAGCGGGCAGGTGGATTGGGATACAGAACAAAGTAGGAGAACGTGAAAAAGTTAAAAGGAAAAATGGCAGATGACTGGGATAACACAAACTTTTTGTATGTGTTTCACCCTACACTTTTTGATATTTTTTGTGTTGTTTGTTGTTTTTTTACGGGGCACGGAAATTTCACAGCAGACCGTACAGCATTCGCAGCACTGACTTCTTTTATGGGCCATATCTCTCAGCGTCTCTAACCAACGACAATCCCCATCCCTTGGGTCTCAACCTGGAAGGCTGCACCAACCGAAACGAAAGCTGAAGCCACCTTCTTCATACCTGTAAGCCATGCCACGGAATGATCGTCGCGGCGCCTCTTCCAGCCTTGCTCGGCACGCGCAAAGAAAGCACGGAAAGGTAGTTGATGGGCAGACATACGCAATACGTGGTCAAGCCAACGGAGACGGTGTAGAGCGATTATTTCTGCTACAGAACGACTATCCGCACCCAACACACGACAACGAACCTCGTCATTACTCACCCGGCATTCCCTCCAGACACCACCAGCGATTCCAATACAGAAAATCAATTAGAATCCTCAACAAGGATGGGGCAGGTCTCGCAACCGTAAAGTAGAACGCTACGAACCGCGGCGATGTACACCCTTCCGTTAAGGGACAGTCATGGCGGCACCACAGGTTGGCGAAAGTTGCTCTATCATTCGCTACTCGTGATGTGATCTCCTCCCCAACACCGCCTCCAGCTGTGATCAAGCTCCCGAGGTACATAAAGTCCCCAACCACTTCCAGATGATCACCACAAAGGGTAAGTGCAGGTGCAGGCTACTGAACAAGCACTTTGCACATGGAAGGTGCAAAGCATACACCACATCTAGATACCTCGATCGCCTAGCGGTTCAACACATTTAGGACTGCCTGTGTACTGTCACCCAGCAAGGCGATGTCATCGGCATATTCCAAGTCAAGAACTCTATTCCATGGGAGGAGTTCACCCCCACCGTTTGCTAGACCGGACAAAGCGTTCTGCAGAACATCCTCTATGACAAAATTGAAAAGGAATGGGGATATAGGGCAGCCTTGTCGAACTTCACTGGAGACGGCGAAGGGTGGCGAAAGCTGATCATAGGGCCTAACCCGACCCGAGGTATGACGACATAACTCTTTGAGGATCAACACATGCTTTTCGTGTACTCCATTCCTCAACAAACAGTTCCACAGTGCGGTCCTATCAACAAAATCGAAGGCTGCGCGGCTAAGAATACAATGATCGTCGGTCTCTGATAGGCATTACGGTTGCAATAAGCTTTATTGTATGACTGAAATTACCTACATCGGACCTACCGGTACTCTGTTGAAAACCCAACAATTCATGTGCGGCCCTAATCAACTTCTAGTTTGATGACCTTTGCCCACAGGATCGGAACTCGCTACGTTCTCCCTCCATGGCCATTCAGTTGCAATTTTACGTATTTACCCTATGATTACCTAACCGCTCCTCATAGCAACTTTCGTGTTAATTATCGTGATCCGTTTTTCGTTAAATCTGTTATCGCAATCTATTATCTCTAATCCACATGGTATTAATCGTCGTGACCCCTTCTTCGTTCAACTCTTACTGTAATCTTTTACCTCCACCCCATATGGCAACTGTTTCGTGATGATTGTCGTAATTGTTGTCCTATTATCGTAATCCATTATCAGTATCAGTTATCTCGACGTGTGCCGGAACAGTTGTGAGGAGCTGACACTGGTGGCCAGCTAAATTGTGCTTTGAAGTGCTCCGCCCAGAGTTCAAGACTTCGCTGTTGATTGTCAATGGACGAACCGTCAGCTTCGCAGATCGTTTCGCTCACATCCAAGGCTTTTCTATCGGTGACCCGAATGAGCTGGAACAGCTTAAGGGAGTTTCCCATGGCGTCAACAGGTTCTATCTCTGATGTGCGTTGAGTTCACCACATCTCGCGGTCTCTGCGTAGGCTTGCTCTAAGTTCACGTCTAACTACAAGCCGAGTTACGTTATGCTCGTTGTCGGATGGAATTGACCGACCTGCGTCAAGAAAGCGTAGAGACTCCGTAGAGATCCAGGGTATCACGGCGCGACGTGTCAGAACAAAACTAACCCATCAGAATGCAGAGCATTCTTGCTTGATAAGTGACCAGTGCTGAATAGTGTAATCGAGTGGGGCTGGTTCTAGCTTTTCAGCTAGAAGACAGTTCGACAAGCTGGTTTGGACAGCTTATCACAGTCTAACCGTCGTTGTATCGTGCGTTTGAAACTCCAACGAAGCACACGGACAGCTTGGAGCATACTAATGCGTGGTCGGATCCGAGGGGAGTGCTTCAGTACGATTGATAGTCTTGAATGCAGCCCCGCCATTTGTGGCTGATCGCGGTATGATCCATCTGCGTACGTCGCTGACTCGAAAAGGGTGGGCGCTAATTGGCGTACCGGCAGTTTGAACGTCTGAAGTTTGTACTGGCGAGGATCAGGCGGTGGTCAGAACATACAGCCATTTCCCATTTTCCGAGAGATAGGAATCTAGTACGAAAAGACTTCTCAGGTGCGCCTCACTCTAAGTCAACCGGCCAACTCTAACATCCATCTCTTGCTACAATCACGATATCAGCCCAGGTCGCTTTACGCAAGAAGTCGCGTAGACTATGGTAAAATTCATCTTTAAGTGCATCTAGGCTGCAGTCCGTTGGAGCGTAGGCCGATAAAACAAACAAGTTTCGTTTACCCTGGCGACGGCTGCTTACCTTGCACGAACCTCTGAGTTTCACTGCGTACAACCTACTGTTGATTGGGATCTTATCCAGGAGGGCGGTTTCAGCTCTCACTCACTGAGAGCCACGCCGATGCCAACAAGCCTAGAAGCCGCAGCCTCAGGGTACAAAACAATCTCCTAGTTTCTGTCCACTGAAATCTATGAACATCCAAACGTCTTTACCACAGCCAGGGTGGGAAGGAACACGGACAAAAAAACAAAGTTTCGACCTGTATTTTCGAAGCCGTATTGCGTCACTATCATAGTTGAATAGCACTACATCGGTTTCCTGGTTGATCTTTAGTTTTCGCAACAAAAGTAAAAATGAACAGTTGCCTACGCAACAATCTATGTGCAGACGGAAACCCGATCAAGCTCGTTATTTGTTACCAGCGCTCTGTTAATGAGACTTGCGTGTGAGCACCGTGCTCGAGGAACATAAATAGGTCGTCAACTATGGTGTAATCAAACCTCACTACAGTCACGTAGCTTTTTCCATTGATTGATTCGCAAATTTAGATTGAACACGACCTTATACGTCAATAACGATTGCATACTTTTGTACTGTATTTTAAGTGCCCCTTTTGTGGGATACCCTATACTTTAATTCAAGGTGACAAAAAATCACCTGGGCAATTTGATTGGTATGGCGCTTTTGCGGTTGAATAAGTCATTCCAATATAGAAATGGATTCATACATCTGAAGCTCAATAATGTAGTACACGGCATAATACTTCAAACGGAAAGTCAATCTCTGCCCTCGAGAGTTCACTTCTTGTGACAAATCCTTTAAGCACTCTTATGCCGTTATGTTTAAGAGGGCTAAACAGTGATTAAAGAAGCACAGAGAGAGAGAGAGTGAATGGAATAGTAGCAGGAAAACCCACAGAACCAAGCACTGCACTGATGAGACCCACCCAGGTCGAAACAGGTGTCTAGTGCTTCCTAGATTTTCAGTTCACGCTTCATTTGCCATATGCACGACGAATTTCCACTTTGAAATTGAATCAAATCCTCCAATACTCATATGAAGTATATATATATATATATTTATATATTTATATAGCAACTAAAGATTTCATTTTGAAAGAAAATTTTCAGATCCACGAAGAGCGACAATTAATTTCAAATAGTTCTGTTGGAATGGTGAACAGTATTAAATCTTTTTGTGAAACAAGTTACAAGGCATAGGGATTAGAATCCTGCTTTTGTATTTCCAAAAGACGGTGCTGGTCGAGGATAGTTCTTTATTGCCAATAACGCTCGAGATATGATTAAGTTGTCATTCATACAACAAAATATCTCATCTGGAACAAGGGTGCAGAATTCCCACACGCACATAGGATAGCTGATGGAACGATCCACTATCAGATGCACATTCTTGTGTTCACCATACCGAACAGCAGCAATTTTCTCCAACAGGTCTTGTTGATTTTTGGCCGTTGAAAGAAACCGCTGATCGCATCTCTAGCGTACTACTTACCAGCGAGTAGTATCTCACAACACCGGTAGTCCGGGGGGGGCATACATTGATTCCACCATGATTGGACAGGACACGTAGCCTTACAAGACGGTTACAAATGGTTATTCGAATCATTTTCTGACCCCCCCCCCCCCGCGGGGTCTCTAAAAACACACCTCGCATCCAGAGAACGTGTTGGTGATATCGATCGTAGCAAGCACTTGCTTGTATTCAAAGGAAGACTTCGTAAAACCAGTTCCAGATATTAGTGAGTAGGGTGATGTATCTCAGAACGCAGGCAATCGACCACCAGTAAGGAACGATTTTCTACATCACAAAAGAGAGAGAGAGAGGGATCTCTGCTGCAACAATCAAACCCCATACCACCACGATCACCATGCGTACCTGGTGAACTGATAGCCAAGTGAGCACGGCAAACAGGTTTATCCACAATCATTGAACAATTTAAATGGATGCTGTGAATTGACCATATACTGTTACTTCCCGGTGCCATTGCAGCATAAAATTCACATACGACATGCACAGTTTGCGAGTACTTATGCTACTCTCTACTCGCAATTTATCGCACAGATCAATCATGTGATCAGGCAGTTTTCCATGTCAATACAACCGAATTGATTTATCCATTTTTTTGCTGGAAGCGTTAACTGCCAGATCGATTCGGTATCGCCCGACGCAGACAGCAGCAGTGGGGCAATAGGTTTGCCAAGGCGTAGAGTTGTGTGCGTGCGTGATAAGGTCAAGGGTCAACGAAGCTCGCATAGTTTGCCGACAATTTGTTCTTTTGGCCGTGACCACAGACGGGTGTTTTATAGATGACCTTCAGCCCTGTCTCATATTTGATACGAGGGCCAAATCGCAAACCAAACGCTCCGGTCGATGAGAGTGAACAGGGTGAATTTCACGCAATTGTGTCACACAGACACTCTGCCATCGAAATCGGATTGAAGTAGTGTCATTTGGACGTTCCAAAGTGCACACACACGCACATTCCTTCCGTGCACTTATCCGCGACCAACGAAGCAACTAAGTTCATATTTGGTAGAACAAAAGGACTAGGACATCCCATCTAGACTGAGCATTGAGGGGCTGTTATACACTAAATACATACGAACTAAATGCTCCGAGCGTGAGGATATTTTGAGATTAGTTTGTGCATAAAACTGATCTTGTCTGCTGAAGAATTAATCGTAGTACCTAGATTAACATTGTAATTTTTTAGCCCACTTGATCATAGGCTTATTTCCAAAATCCCATAAACAAGCTTCCCCAAAGCCGTTAATTTATCTGTTAAATGAGTTACCCATTCTATTTGCCGCTCTATTTTCTAACCAAGAATAGCACGCTATTGAGCAGATCCATGACATTAGCGGAAAAGTACGATCTCGATGCTTGCGTGCCAAAATTAGCATTGAACGTGAAACTCCTTTCTTCCGTCCGGTGTTTTATCACTAGGCTTGTGATGCTAAAGAGTTTCACCTCCATTATCTACTAGATAATGATTCGGAAAGAGCTTGAATCTAGTGCGATCTTAGACACCGCGGTGGGTCGTACAGTCTATGCGACACGAGGCTCTCTTATTTTCGATCGATCAGCCCTACTGATCCAATCAGAATCCCTGTTCGTTGGTTGAACAAACTGATGACTAGGCGTGGAAATCAAATCTGAAGGATCGTCAGTCAAAACCTGTAACATTCTGTAACACGGACACAGCACTTATCAAAAACGACGGCGATGTGTGAAAAAAGTTTCTTGTTCCATTCATCCGTACTTTATCTTAACTAAACTTTTCCCGGGTTAAGTGGAACGGACATCATTTATAGCACTTGCCAGCCTTATCCCCCTGTCGCTAAGACTAATCTAGCCTAATCTAATTCGTGATATTCACGTGATCTTTTGTGATGCATTTGCCAAAAATAGACTCAGACAGGATACAGGTAGTTTAACTTCATTTTGTCAATTCCCTGTATGTCGTCCTCTACGCCTGAGCACTTCGGTCCGTTGTTTTGGCATGAAGTCTACTAACTTGGCAATCAAATCATGTTTGTCAGTCTCTTCTATAATACATGCCGTATCCTGACCTCTGACATCAAACCTCGAGGCAGGCAACTTATTTTTGTCTTCATTGCGGAGAGAAAATGCCGATTTCATTCAGATCCGGGCTGTTGGGCGGGAACTGAATGAATTCCAGTTTGGAGTGTTCATTTAAGTTCAGTTTGTAAAACCATTAAGCATGCAATTTTGTGCGCCAGTCTTGGTTACTATCTTTTGGCCACCCATTTGAATAAAAGAGCAGAATGAAGATTGGAATATGAAAAGCAAATTCAAGAGAAAGATAGCGAATTTATATAGACTGAGGTTGCAAAAATAATGAGTGGATGCATGAGCATCACTGTTTGCGACACCCAGCTATATCACTCAGCGTCTCTAACTACCGGTGACCACGATCTCGGATTCCCCATCCAGGGAGCCTAACGGTACCTATGCCAGGTTTTCTTTGGATCCATTTTCGTACGGTAACATGGGAGAAGTGCTACTGATTCGCTTGGACTATCATCAATATTGGTTATTTGAAGATTCCACAACTGCGACCGAATGTATTATTCACTGTCTCATTTCGATCTGGTTGGTTCTCATCTTCTGCATTGTTGAAGAAATTCCCTTGATAATCGAGAACTTGTGCGTTTGTTCACATTTGTACAAGTCACAGACTACGACACCGGATTTATGCGCTTCTCTCATAGGTTGTGCTTCATTTGT